AATTCGGCTAAGGCTGTGGCTGCTGCTAAAATATACCAAATAAATACGAGTATGTATACAACTATGAATATCCTATTAAACAAGAAAAAATGTTAACTTAGGTTGCAGCGAAGCTATAATACCGTTCACAAATACAAAAGATTCCCCAAAAAGGATTTGATTTTAATCGGTTATTTTGTGTGGCAACAATATGCAAAAGTGGTCCGAACAAAACAATTTCTTCAGAGATTGCACCATTGCCTTAGACAATAATCCATGCCAAATTTCGGAAGATACCTGGTCAAATAAACAAGATTTGCATACCAGGACTGGAATTTGGTCAATCAGTTTGTATGACAGTTAAATGTTATAGTGGCCCGCTATAGCGGTTCCCACATGCGATCAGCTTCTTGGGGAGAAAGGGACGTGCACAAAATTTCATGTTTACGAGTATATCTCAAAAACTGAGCGACTAGTTCACGTATACAGAGAGACGGACAGACGGGTGGATAGAGATATGATAATGTACTGATACTTGTATATACATATATATATAGATATATACATATATATATAGATATATACATATATATTTTATAGGGTCGCCGATGTTTAATTTTGGATGTAACAACCAATGTGGCAAACTTAATATACCCGGTTCAGGGTCTATATTGTACATATGTTCCTGGAACGTTATAGCACTTCCGTCACTCAAGTTTGGTGAAGTAAAAATGAATCTGGAATCATTTGATTTGAAAATTACAACAAAATGGTTTGCAGCTAATATATATTGCTAAATTCTTAAAATTGTTAAGGAATGCTTTGTTGTTAATTCAGTAAAAATATAGTTTTGAGTTGTACTAAGTACTTTTTGTTATGACAACCCATCAATTGAGTTATTTAACACATTGCGCATTTTTAAATCTATATTAAGTGGTCGCACTGATTAAATAATATGTTGTGGAAAATATGGTTTCTCACACTTGATGCAACTCTGATGCATGTGTAAGTGATTTGTTATTTCGAGTCTGGCCGAGTCCGAATAACATTAAGATTAACAATATTTTTGCACAATTTTTGGCTTTATTTTGTACGCAGTGGACTGTGCAGTTTCATTACAAATCAGTTATCAATCTGTGTTTATTATAAACGTAACATCATTTCCCTTCTGTAAAAGCAAATATTAGGAAGTAAAAAATGTTAAACAATATTACTACAAATCAAGAAAGATAGAGCGTGAGACTACGACTAGCTTCGTTATAATTGATAAGAACTATCAAACGTGCATTACTTCTTTATACTTCGTAACTAAACGAACTGCTGTATTTTCTTGTAAAATGGAATCTATGCAACTACCGAAACTAAACTTTTGTAATCTCCATTTCCATCATTTTTGATGCACATATAAAAAATTCAACCTGGCGTAAAAATATGGCTTCAATCTTAGAGCCCTAAATTTCAAAATAAATACATATTTCTACTATTAAGCAAAATAAAGAAAAAGAAAACAAGTAAGAATGTGCCTCTAACACTTATAATGCTAAAAATGAAGAAATCGATTACAAAGTTCGAATATATTCGATATCGAAGATCTATTCAAATGTGGCATTCTTTACAATAAAGTTTTCCTAGATATATTTCGTTACATGGGAACATATAATATTCAGCTGCGCTCAAATTTAGACGGTCTATACTCGTTGGTTTTTTGCTTAGTATTGTTTATTAAAAAGTATAAAATACACATCTGTAAGAAATATTATCTATTTATACACATAGATTTGATAAGAAAGTAATCAGTGCATAGAAATAATTAAACCGATTGAAAGAGATTTTTTTTATTTTGCTTAGCATACTTTTTGTATTCGGTGAATTGTTCGACATCTTATATATATTATACTCGTATATCTTTAAAAAAAACAATTCTATTTTAAAATGTTTATTTTTTTCCTCCACTTTTTCCATTGAAGTAAGGTAAATTTTGTCATGACGATTTATTATATTAAAGAACGCGGTCAACAAAGAGAACTTTAGCCTCAAATTAGAAAACTATAATCTACGGACTAATAAGGACTAATTTATTTATTGAACATAATTTGTTGTATTCTTATATTTTTGATTATTTCTAAGCTTGCAAAGTAAGTTAATGACAATGAAGGAGCAGATGCGAAAATTACAGCGAAGTGGTAAGATGCTAATATAATATTTATTTAGAAATTCATAATAAGCTTGTACAAATTACAAATTCTTACTTTAGGAATAAGGATAAGAACAAACGTTAACTTCGGTTGCGCCGAAGTTATAATACCCTTTACAAATACAAAGGTTCTGTACAAGAACTTGATGCCGATCGTTCAACTTGTATTACAGCTATATGATATAGTGATCTGATCTGAACAATTTCTTCGGATAATACATTGTTGCCTTCAATAATAACTCGTGCCTAATTTCGTGAAGATACCTCGTTAAATGAAAAAGTTTTCCATGCAAGCTTTTTACTCCGATCGCTCAGTTAATATGGCAGCTATATGCTATAGTCACCCGTTCTACACAATTTCTTCGGAGATTGCATCGATCAAGTACTTGATTCCAATTGTTCAGTTTGTATGGCAGCAATATGCTATAATGGTCCGATATCGGCGGTTCCGAAAAATGAGCAGCTTTTTAGTGAGGAAAAGACAGGTGCAAAATTTCAGATCGATAGCTTAAAAACTGAGGGACTACTTCGCGTATGTACAGACAGACGGACAGATGGACATAGCTTAATTAACTCAGCCCATCATGCTGATCATTTATGTATATATTGTATAGGGTCTCCGACGTTTCCTTTTGGATTTTACAAACTTCGTGGCAAACTTAATTTTTCCTGTTCAGGGGTTAATTAACAGCAGCGCCCCTCCAATCAAAAAGCCATCTTCTTGTACCGAAGCGATACGTCAAGAAAACGGGAAATATGCAGAGAGTGACGTTTATGAACTTTATCTTCCTGAGTTCCTCCATCACGCTTTCTTTGTTTATTGCCTTCGAGATCCCAACGGTGGCGAACCGTGAACTATAATTCAACGTCGACAAAGCAACGACACCGACTGCTATCGTACCCACGATAGATGGGGATAGGGTATGAACACGGTTTCGGCCATTCGTTCACTTCTCATCGTGGCCTAAATTTCACCACTAAAGATAATGATAATGAAAAAGATGATAGGAACTGCGCGGTACTATATACGGGAGCTTGGTGGTGTGCTCAAGTTTCGTATCATACTGCATTCTCATTTAAAATTATGTACCATTTGCAGCAATCTGAATGGTCTATATTTAGGAGGACATGTTCCAGTGGAAAATTATGGCAAAGGAATGGTGGGAAGTGAATAGCTCGGGCATAACTACTCACTCAAATAAGTATTTACATACAAGTATATATGTATGTATGTATGTATGGCTATGAGAACAAAGTACTATTATTGAAAAGTTTTTCTTAATAAATGGAATTTAAAACAAGTTTTGTCAAGAATTTTTAGACGAACGAACAGCCTTACGGAAATCGATATAATCCTTCAGCTCGATAATTACCCCTAGAAAGAGTATATTAAGTTTGCCATGAAATTTCTATAAAGTATATGTTGTATATAAACGATCAGCAAGGCAAGCTGAGTCGATTTAGCCATGTTCTTCTGTCTTTATATACGCTAACTAGTCCCCCTATTTAAGATATCGATCTAAAATTTTGTATACAACCTTTTATCCCCAAGAAGCTGTCCATTTGTGGGAACCGCCGATATCGGACCACTAAAGCATATATTTGCCATACAAATGAAGACTAATTTAACTTCAGTACAGCCGAAATGAGATTTTTTTCTTCTTATACTTATATGTTTAATTAAGATAGTTGCAGCAAACTGCTTCGACCACTTTCGAAAGGGATCTATCACATTGAGAAACATTGAAAGTTTAGAATACAAATTTACTTCTACTTCAGCCGTTTCGAATGTATTTCTGTGGGTGCTTGCGAATCGATCATTTTTTGAGGTGATAGGTAATACATACGTTTAGATAAATGTCTAGACCTATTTTTTTCCTTAAATATGATATGTTATTTCATTCAGATTATGTTTTTTGCAATATTCTTGCTGTATTTCGGATCAAGCGTAGTTAGTAAATAGATTTAAAAAATTTTGGAAAATGGCGACACATATCTGGAGGTCTGCAAAGTAAGAGTACGTGGCGGCGATAATCTCCTCATTCGACTCAAATTTCTCTGAGGTCAGTGGTTTTTCAAGTTGGAAAATAAAAGCTGATTTTCTGCAATTCGGCCCAGTAATGCGGTGTAATGTGAGTGATGTTATCGGTTTGCCCTTTTCCAGAAATGCAATGCAAAATAAATCTTGTGAGTCGATTTCACGTTTCGTTGACAATGAACCACTCAAAAACTTCTTTGGTTTGCGTTTAAGCAGTCCCAAACAATACTATAAAGTGGTATCACTTTTTCGCTTGTTGTCCGAAGTGAGCACACACGGCACCCAATGCAACGAAAGTTTCCTTATTCAAAATATTTCATAAAGTGTACTTGTATAACCCAAGTGGTATTTAGGATACCTACTGCGACGTAGCTAAGGTCGAGCATCTTTAATCAGCAGAGATTGTTGACTTTCTCCATGGTATCCTCCGTTTTCGGATCACCTAGGTGTCATAAATAAACAATGTGCGACTAGATTTAAGCTCGAGACGAATCTATACCCTCTACAGTATCAGTTTTAATTTGACTGCAGGATTTATATTTCAAAAACTAGAATCGAATTAGCGATTGATATTGCTCTTTCCCAATTTTCTAAAATTCACGGACATACCCACTTATCAAATCGTATTACAGCCGTTTCCCATGTATTTGAATGTATACTTATACATCGATAATGCACCGAAGACTACGCTTCCGCATTTGCTAAGTACTACTTCACTACTAATATAAGATTGATTCCGCTCTCATAATAAAAATCCCCGACAAATAAGTACATGCATAAGTACTTGTATATACACAAAATGATTTTCAGCAGATAACAAAATGATTTTCAGCAGAGTAATTAATTTATAATAACAATATAATTCTTCACTCAAGTGCGAGTATTTACAACGCAATCATCAATTTCGCATTCAGTTTGACTGAAATTGTGGAGAATGGCGCATCGTTTGATCGTTTTGTTCATTTTGTGTGGACATCTTTTGTATTCGGTGAATTGTTCGACACCTTTTCAAAGTAGCGCCAATGTTGCGGTATTTAAGCTGAATTAAATAAAATATATTGATTTTAAAATTTCTTTTTGTGTGCTTTCTATTTAGCCATTTGTCACCTATCTTTGTGATGACGATTTATTGAAGAGCGCGGTCAACAAGGTAGAGCTCTTGAGCCTCAAATTAGAGAATTATAATCTGCGGTAATCTATTTTTAAGTTATTGAGTATTAATACGGCTTTACAGTGTTTGCTTTTGTTTCTTAGCTTGCAAAGTGAATTAATGGCGATGAAGGAGCAGCTTCTACGTGAAGTAAAGACGAATCTGGAATTATTAGATTCGAAAATTACAGCGAAGTTGTAAGCAGCTTATATTTATTTCACAATTCATATACAATCGTACAAACTACAAATGTTTACTTTAGGAATGAAGATAGGAAAAAATTAGAAGCAGCGCCCCCTTCAATCAAAAAGTCATCTTCTTGTACCGAAGCGATGCGTCAAGAAAACGGGAGATATGCAGAAAGTGGCATTTATGAACTTTATCTGCCTGAATACCTTCATCACGCTTTCTTTGTTTATTGCCTACGTGATCCCAACGGCGGTGAACCGTGGACTATAATTCAACGTCGACAAAGCAACGACACCGACTTTTATCGTGGGTGGTTCGAGTATGAACACGGTTTCGGCGATTTGAATGCCAATTTCTTTCTCGGCTTGGATAAAATACATGCGTTGACACATTCGCGAGCCCATGAGCTTTGGTTTGAATTAGAGGATTTTCAAAATGAGAAACGTGCTGCTAAGTACGAGAGTTTCGCCATTGGTAGTGCTCAGGATAAATATGAGTTAATTGCGCTTGGGCAATATTCAGGCACCGCCGGTGACTCCTTCTCTACCCATCGCGGGGAAAAATTCACAACTAAAGATAGTCATAATGACAAGAATAGTGATAACTGCGCAATACTATATACCGGAGCTTGGTGGTATCAAAAATGTCATGTCAGGTAATATTACTATTTTTTTTATCCATGTATTATTTTCTATCATATGGAGTTTTCATATAAAATTATGTATTATTTTTTTTATTATCAGCAATCTAAACGGTAGGTATTTAGGAGGAGAATTTCCGAAGGATCAGTATGCCAAAGGTGTGGTGTGGAAAGCGTGGCGAGGATATTATTACTCGCTCAAATATGTACATATGGCTATAAGGCCAAAGTATTATTATTGAAATGGTGGTTTGTAAACCATACGTTCTAAAAATTACTGACTTTAAAGTTCTGCGGGGCAAATTTGAGCCAAACAGTAAATTTATTTATGTATTCCGGTATAAAAACTAAAGCTTTGTTAAATTTGCATATTGTGTTTAGCAACAATAATAAAATATACTTTATATTTTTAACAGAAATTC